TACTCAGCTCAGGAGAAAATGGAGGAGAGTATTTAACTTGCTTTGGGGATATATTCTAGACATGTCAGTAGGACATCAGAGTGATTAGTGTGTGAATCTCCAAATAGTTATAGGTCTACAAAAAATAGGAGTGGTAATTGGGGAGAAGCTGTACATTTTGGGTCAGTGCAGAGGTTTAAAAATAGGAGGAGGCAGCAGACATTTAATCCTGAATAAAGGCAGAATAAATGTGGAGGAGGAGAACATTGTACACCAAACTGTCATGAAACCTTTTTGATAAATTGTTTAGAGCATAAAGAAATTGCTTTCTTCATAACAATTTGGAAATTGTTATGGTTTCAATGTGAGTTGTCCCTGAAAAGCTCACATGGGAGAAAATGCAAGATGATTCAAAGGAAAAATGATTGGGTTGTAAGAGTCTTAACCTAATCAGTGAATTCATCCCCTGTCAGGGATTAACTGAGTAGTAACTGAGTTGTAGCATGGGCTGGAGGAGGTGGGAATTAGTGCATGGCTTTGGTGTATATATTTTGTATCTAGAGAATAGAATTTCTCTTTCTACTTCCTGATCACTGTGATGTGAGCTGCTTCCTTCTGCCACCCTCTCCCACCATGATGTTCAGCCTCACCTTGAGCTCAGAGGAATGGAGCGAGCCTTCTATGGACTGTGAACCCTCAAATAAACTCTTCCTCCTCTACAGCTGTTCTGGTCAGATCCTTTAGTCACAGCTGTGAAAAAGCTGACTTAAACAGAAATCGTCTTTTTTGTTGCTTGATTTCCTTCTAGTTCTCATGCACTAGGTCCCTATTGATCTGTTCATTACTTTTCTTTGCTGTGCTTTATGTTTTATTAAGCTTATAATAATCGGTCTTCTTTTTTATCTTTCATGAGGAATCCTAGTTTTCTGGGTTATTTTATTGTGATAAATTATTGTCCAGTTACTTGAAATAAACCTCTGAGAAAGCAGTAACAACACATAATAAATCTTTTTTACACTTTTACTTAGAAACCTCCCTATCTAGAATTTTCATAACACCCTTCCTTGGGTGTGTGTTCTTCTTCCTTTAATGATTTTTGTGTGTTACTGTCTTATAGGTTAGACTTTACCCTCAAACCACAAATGACACACTGTTCTTGTTTTATTATTACAAATGGAATCATTAGCATTATAGAATTAACATATAAGATAAATACAACAGGCTAGGGGATGTATGTAGCTCAGTGGTAGAGTGCTTGCCTAGCATGCATGAGACCCTGGGTTCAATCTCCCCAATCCCCCCAAAAGACAATTAATATACAAAAAAGATACAATTACTATAATTAGTCACTTTTTTAAAGTGTTACTGTATACCAGGCCCTATTCTAAATAACTTATGCATATAGTAGCTGAGAGGTTGGTACCTCCCCATTGTCAGTGGGGGAAATTTTATTATCCCCCATTTTACAGGGAGGCAGCTGAGGCACACAAAGGTAAAGTGATGAGCCATTGGTGATGCACCTCTCAATGGATGAGCCAGTGGTGTGGGAATCTGAAAATGTGGTCATTGTGTTCAACCACCATTCAGCAAACACAAGGAACAAAATAGCAAATAAAGAATTGGGATTCAACTGAACTTTTCCTTGATAAATCTGCTGTTTTTGCCCTCCTCCATTTCATTCCCCGTGTTCCCTCTACCACAGACCCTTTTGTGAACTGACTCATGTGCGTCTCTGAGGTTTCAGTTCAGTTAAGTCTAAGAGTGTGTGCCCCTGACTCCTGAGACAGATCAGCACCCTACCCCTACATGGTTTCAGAATCTCCAAGTTACTCTTCATAGCACTGATCAAGTGGAAGGTGAGAGAACCTCAGTGACTTGCTCAGAGTTCTTCTTTCTGCTAGAGTACAGTGCCTTGTGGGAGGTGTCTTATCCACATTCATTCACCATTGCATCCACATCACTTTCCACACCACTGGCTATGAAGTAGGTGCTCAGTATTTAATTCATTTATTGAATGAATGAAGCAAAGGTTAAGAAGAAAGGAGGAAGAAAAGCAAAGATTATATTCTTACTTCATTCCAGGTTCTCTTAAGCGCAGTTTGTCATTCAGTAAATGTACTAGCTAGAAATAGGTTATATTTCACACAACAGAAAACCAGCTGTGGTCACTTTAACAAATAGGATATTAATTTATTTATAACAAGAATTATGGTATTTTAGTGCTACTTTGTTCACTAACACGTGTCATTCAGGTACTAGACCTTTCTTCTGTGTTTCTGTTGCTACAAGTTGGGTGGTGGGATAAGCTTGGCAAAATAAAAAGTACATCCCAGTCAGATATTCTGGTGTTACATGAGGAGTGGGTTTGTTGTTTGAGTAGACGGCTTGAAATTCCATATACCTCCTTAAATAAAAGTTGAGGTTTTATTTTATTTATAACGTACTTTTTGAGGAGAGAGGTGAAAAGGAATCCTGTCATGGTGGACTGGTCTTTCCTGATGTGCCTGTTTTTGTTTGTTTGTTGGTTGGTTGGTTGGTTTTTGTGATTCCAAAGCACTAAAAGCTGATGCCAGCAATTACAGTAGGGAGAAGTCACTTCTCCAATGCCCATGTTTGTAGACCTTTTCTCTTCAAACATTCCCCAGGGAGGAAGCAAGTCTTTGGGTAGAGAGTAAAATTCCTGGCTGCTGCTGATCTGGAAACCAGTGGAGGAGGGAGCTGAGCTCTGTGTGTGTGTGTGTGTGTGTGTGTGTGTGTGTGTATGCGCTTGCGCACATGTGTGTGCGTGTGGGGGTACTGAGGTCCGTCTAGCTCTCCAGTCAGTGTTAGACTTCTATTTAAGACTCCTACCACTCCTACCACTCCTACCACTGTTCCCAGCTATACCTACTGTCCTAAGTTTGCATTCTCTAATCCAGCTTTTCCATAGGTGGAGGAGGGGCAGCCCAGAAATGGAAAAGGATTTCTTTTTTCTTGTAGATATACATGACAGTAAGTGTATTTTGACACATTATACATACATAGCTTATTCTAATTAGGATCCCATTCTTGTGCTTAAACATGATGTGGAGTTTCACTGGTGGTGTATTCATAAATGAACATAGGACAGTTATGTCTTTTATGTTCCTGTCACACCTCTTTCCCTTCATTCCTCCTTTGTCTAAATCAGTGAACTTCTGTTCTTCCCCTCCCTCCTGCCTTGTGTTAAATCCACATACCAAAAGAAAACATTCAACCTTTGGTTTTTTGGGATTGGCTTATTTTACTCATATCCATCCATTTACTGGCAAAAGCCAGTAATTCCATTCTTCTTTATGGCTGAGTAATATTTCATTGTGTATATATATACAAATTTTCTTTATTCATTCATCTGTTGAAGGGCATCTAGGTTGTTTCCCTAGCTTAGCTGTTGTTAATTGAGCTGCTATAAACTATAGTAAGTTGATTTTAAGACCTTTGGGTGTATACTGAGGAGTGGGATAACAGGGTCATGTTTTCTGAGGAATCTCCTTATTGCTTTTCAGAGTGGTTGTACAAATTTGCAGTCCTACTAGCAATGTATGCGTGTGCCTTTTTCCCCATATCTTCTCCAACATTTATTGTTGCTTGTATTCTTGACGGCAGTAGCCGTTCTGACTGCAGTGAGATGAAATTTCATTGTAGTTTTAATTTGCATTTCTCTGATTGCTAGAGATGTTGAACATTTTCACATATATTTGTTGATTGATCTTATAAATTCTTCTAAGAAGTGTCTGGTCAGTTCCTTAGCCCATTTATTGATTGGGTTATTTGGGGAGGGTTTTCGTGTTAAGTTTTTTGAGTTCTACGTATATCCTGGAGATTAATGCTCTATCTGAGGTGCATGTGGTAAAGATTTTCTCCCATTCTGTAGGCTTGCTCTTCATGTTCTTAAAGAATGAAGTTCCTAAGCTGACATGATATAGTGTTGGGCCTACATATTCTTCTGTTAGGCACAGGGTCTCTGGTCTAATGCCTAGGTCCTTGATCCACTTTGAGTTTTGTGCAGGGTGAGAGATAGAGGTTAAATTTTATTCTGCTACTTGTGGATATCCAGCAGGAAAAGGATTTCTTAAATGGATTTTTAAAAGCCATTTCTCCTATTTTATTCCACTCCACTCCTGTTTCACAGATACTTAAGTCTTTAGTAGGGAAAGTGGGGAAGTTCTGGAGCTTGGTGGACTTATTTTCTGTCACCCCTTATTTGCAGTCTAGATAAAGCCATTTCTGTCTTATAATCTGGTTATACTTTCTCCATAGTTTTATAACTATTTCTCCTCTCCTGCTCTTAGTGGTTGTGTTAGTCAGCTTCCTATCATTATAACAAAGTGCTAGAGATAATTAACTTATAAAGGATAAAGTTCTATTTGGCTCAGAGTTTTGGAGGTTCCAGTGCGTGATTGCATGGCCCTGTTGCTTTTTTTTGCCTTTGGCAAGACACCATTCATGACAGAAGCATGTGGTAGAGCTGAACTGCTTACTCATTTCCAGGAAACAGATAGGAGGGGTCAAGGTCTCACACTCCCCTTTAAGGGGATTTCCCCAATGACCTTAAAGATCATTGACCTCTTACTAGGCCTTACCTCTTAATGGTTCCACCATCTCTCAATATCATCCCATAGGGACTAAGACGTTAACACACAGGACTTTAGGGGATGTTTAGGTTCCAAACTATAGCAATACTTGTGGACTTGCCTTTTCTATCCTGTCATCAGAGAGGGAAAGATGTAAAAATGCACTATTCAGTCTCATGCTTTGGTGGAGATTTAGCATGTATTATTTTTCTAGAAAAGGAGAATTATACTATCCATATATCTGAAATCTATAAAATTAATTGAAATAATTAAATATTCACTGCATGTTGCATTTTATCTGTTCTCTCATGTAGAAATAATAGGATAATGAAATTCCTAGGGCAAATTGAATTTTCAAAAGAACTAAAATTCTGTAGATTTTTTAAAATGCAAATATGAGCTTTTCAAAAATTATCTTTTTAATTTTCAGATTGTGAGCCATGCCTTTAGTGAAGAGGAACATTGAACCCCGGCACTTGTGCCGGGGAGCTCTGCCAGAAGGAATTACCAGTGAACTTGAATGTGTAACCAACAGTACTCTTGCTGCAATCATACGCCAGCTAAGCAGTCTGAGTAAGTCACTTCTTTTTTTTTTCTGGTTACTGATGACACATTATTAACTTTAAATTATCAAATTGATTTCAATTCAATAGTTATGGTATTACAGATGTAAAGGAAAGAACCCTTCTCCCTTCACATTTTCCAGTGTGCAACTAATTGTTTTGTCCACTGGGCTTGTGATATCCATCACTATACAATGAAGATATAATGCTACAATTACCAGCTCACAAATTATTAGGTAAGATCAAACATGTAGACTCAAAATAGTGTTAATTTATTAAAGCTTTTTCAAATAGTCTTAATTTTTTTAACTTTAGTAAGTTATTTTGTTGAACTTGAGTGGGAGCAATCATTTTTTAAAAATGTAATAGATTGAAAACTAATTAATACTCGTAATATTTCTGGTACATATGAGGTGCTCACTAAATATTTTTGATTGACTTATGTTCCAAATGAGTCACAGAATAAAATCCAAAGCAGTAAAATTTGCTGGTTTTAACCTACTTAAAATTAAAATGCAGGTATTGGCTTCCATATTGATAAGTTAACTATACATGTACCATATTTATTTTCGTATGTGTAGATTTATGGCAAATACAAGCATAAGGAAGAAAAGACTTTTTATTATTCTAGTTTTGACTGTTAATTTTTAAAACCCAAGAAAGATTCTATTTCCTCAAATATGCATAAAAATGCTTTTCCTTTCAAAGCTTTTTGAAGTTGAACTATTTTTTGCCTAACTTACATTTATATCGTGATCTTGTTTTCTCACTTCATCCCACTCCTTTTCTGTTGAGATGGTTGAGGTAGCATTTCTGGTGACAGGTTTTCACAGTTAAATTTTTCAAAAACTCTGCTAATGACCAGAAAGTCCTTCATGAAATTCCACATACTGGTAGTCTCAAGCATAGGAAGATTTTTTAAATTTTATTTTGAAGAAGAAATGCTGCAGATAAATATTTCTTTTAAAGAATTGTATTATACTGTGCTATTATTGGTGTATTTTTAGTAGATCTGCATTCATTGACCAAGGAAAAAGTTCAATCCTCAGCACCACATAAAAATAAATAAATAAAGAAAGAAAGAAAGATAGATATTGTGCCCAACTACAAGTAAAAATAAATAAATATTAAAAAAGAATGTTTCATGTTACTTTCTATTTTCATAATCATTGAGGTATTTTAAGTTTTAAGAATGCATGAATCTGTTATGTTAAAAGTCTTTTTTTACTGACTGTTCATTCCTATGATAAAGTCAAAACAGAATCTTTAAATTTTCTTGTGCACCTAACCGTTATTCAGTTGGTCCAGATTAAAATGGACTATCTTTTAAGTCTCACTTCTGTGCCCCACAACACCTCGTCCCCATCTTTCAGCATCTACGCTCACACATCAGAGACTCATTTTCAGGTGTGGTGATAGGTGATAGAGAGTTATCTGGATTTCTTGCAAGCAATATACAGAGGCTGGACTTTGTCCTTCTGTACCATCTTAGGAGCCGAGTTTAGGGGAACTTAAGGACCTTCCTTGAGCCTGAATGGTCCTGCCCACCTGAGAATGGCTTGCTTCAAGAGACTCAGGGTGACAAATTGTCTGGCAGTTCTAGGGAAGACAAAACAGATCAGGACTCCAGAAGGAATTTCTTTGCTCTTTTCCAGTAAGGAAGACTAGCAGTTGACATCCTCATTCATCAGGTTATTTTGCTTCTCATCACATTTATTAGGACAATTCAAGAGTCATGAAGATATAAATGACTTTGCATAAGGCAAGAAAAGAATCTGGTTCTGGATGCTAATTAGTCCTCTGTAAAAGCCCTGTAACTAACTACACACCTGTTGGAAAAACTGGGTTTTAAAAAAACATATTGCCATGTTCCCATTACATCCAAATCAGACACCTGACTTCAAGGCTCAGTAATTTGGCAGCAATGGATTCTTAACAGGCTTTACAGAAAACTGAAATTTTTTCAATGAGAATATACTGATTATTGGTATTGAGTTTAGGGATAGTTGTAGAAATGAAAGAGAGGAAATTTGTAACCTGGCAGTCTTACAGTTAAAGGATCAGAGGCTTTCAGAACTTCATCCAGTAAAATAAAAAAAAAATATATCTTTATTAGCTTTCAGATTTTTCTCATTATTTTTGACTATCTAATATGAAAGATCAGAGAAATGGCATGGTGGAGAAAAGCCACATGCTTTTTATTTTTTATTATATTTTTGGTAATTTTGATTAATAGTGTGTCACTTGGTTTCCATCTAGGGGATATTGATATTTTTCTTCAATTAATGACAGTTTAGTGCAGCAATTAACACTAAATCAGGATTGCTTTTTCATCATTTCCTTGATTAATAATCTGAGTGCTCTTACTCCTGTCAGCTAGTTGCTCAATTAAAATTATAGTATATTGCAATCAAATTCTTACAGATATTCTAATGTAATTTTAATATACTTTGCTTTGAAAAGGAGATAAGATAGGACATTTGTGCCAAGGATGACACAAATTATTTTTATACCTCATAGGTTGGTTTTATTACTTTTCTTTGTTCTTGAGATAATAGCTATCTTCCCCTTCTCCTCAAAATATGATGTCACAAAGAAAGCAGTAAGAGCCACACATGCCAAATCCCAGCGGCTCCTCCCTCCGGCTCCTCTGATGCAGGAGGACCAAATGTTCACAGCCAGCTTCAGCAATTTAGCAAGGCCCTAAGCAAGTTAGTGAGGTACTGTTTCAAAATAAAATATATAAGAAAGGGCTGGGCTATGGCTCAGTGGTGAAGTACCTCTAGATACAGTCCCTGGTACAAAAAACAAAACAAGAAAGGAGTAAGAATTAGCATGTCCCTCTCTACACAAAGTTATTGGTTATATTTGATGATATTAATAAGGTGATATAGAAAATTTAATATAAAAATATGCAAAGGAAAAGATGAATAAATTGCAATCATCAGAGAAAATTATTGATAATATTTTATCTGTGTGTATTATATATGCACACACACATACATTTATCTTTATAAAAATGGTATCAAGGTAGAAATGGCATTGTAGCCCATTCACTATATAGTATATATTTTTTATTGATTCTTTTAAGACACAGTTTTTAATAACTGGAGATTATTATATTGATATGCCATATTGTTTAGACATTTTTGTCTCTTTTTTTTTGTTTTCAAATGAAGTTTATTTCAGTCATTTTATAAACCGAACGCATGATGTTGTTGTTTTTTTTTAAGATACAAAATCACAGAGAACAAACAGAAAAGCCTGCTAATAGTTCATAATTCCCCTAACCTAAAATCCCTATTGTTGATATTTTGGGGTTTTTTAATTTGTTTATTTTTTAAAACAATTTTATGAGAATATTTATTTTGCATTTGCATCATAGTATTAGTGTACTATTCTGCTTTTGTCACTTGTGGGTTTTTACTTGGTTCAGTCTTTTAATAGAATAGGAATTTGATGAAACTTTGTGGAATCTGATTTGTTTTTTTTTTTGTAATTTGTGTATAGTGGGTGTATATGCTGGTGAGATTCATTGCAGTATACTCAAATATATAAATAAGAATGTTAGGTCAGATTCATTTCACCTTCTTTCCCTGTCCATCCCTCCTCCCTTTCCTTCATTCATCCTTGTCTGCTCAACTGGTATTCTCTTCTCTTTTTTTATGCCTCCTTTTTATGTTGGATTAACTCCTGCTTATCAGAGAAAACATTTGACCTTTGACTTTTGGGACTGGCTTATTTCACTTGGCATGATAATCTCCAGTTTCATCCATTTACTAACAAATGCCATGAAGTCATTCTTTATGATTTAGTCTTTTTTTTCTACTCTTGAACATAGAAGTTATTTCTTTGTCAGAGGCAGGGGCACTTATAAATTATTGTATAAAATAGCTGCATATGTTTTGGTTGTTTATGGTGTTTTAATATACTTGTCTTGTATCTTAATAATCCAGACTTCTCATAATGAACAAAAAGAATCTCCAAAAATTGCCTAAAATTCTATAAGTCTTTTAATTTTAAATTTGCCTCTCTTTTTGGAATCATTGCAAAATCGATTTTTCCCTCATTTCCATGTTTGGTGTAATTATATAAATGAGAAAGGAGTCTATTTTCTTCTCCTATACTTTAAAAAGTGATTGTTTTTATTAATTCTCCTGAAGGTACACAATATATTTCATACCAAATTGAATGCTAAATTGACATAAATATTCTTTCTTAAGGGCTCACACTCTTATTTCTTAAGGGTTTGTACTTTGATTTCATAGGCTTGCACTCTCATGCATTTGCTCTTTTTTTGGATCTGAAATTTAGACCTAATTCCATTAAGTGCAGTACTACTGAGAATAGAGGTTTAAATATTTTGAAGGCATGCACTTTATACATTTCTTAGATGTTTTTATCCACAGGATTTTTGTGGGGGGAGGAAAAGGATAAAACACACTTTATAAAGGTTAAAGATCACAAGTGTTTTTCTGTGTAGGTTAAGGCTAAGGGTAAGGGTAAGTTAGGATATTGATATATCTGCACAGAAGTTGATGTAAGAAGCACAACAAGAATTTATGAAGTTTTTTTTAATTATTCTAATTACTTATATATGACACATGGTACACAAATGGAACACAACTTCCCATTCCTCTGGCTGTACATGGTGCAGAGTCACACCAGTCCTATAATCATACCTGTATATAGGGTAATAATGTCTATCATACTTCACCATTTTTTCCCACCCACAGGCCCCCTACCCTCTGCTCACTCCCCTCTGCCAATCCAGAGTTCCTCCATTCTTCCCTACCTGCTCCACCCCCGTTATGGATCAGCACCCGCTTATTAGAGAAAACATTCAGCCTTTGTTTTGGGGGGGTTTGGCTTATTTTGCTTACCATGATATTCTCCAGCTCCATACATTTACCTGCAAATGCCATAATTTCAGTCATCTTTAAGGCTGAGTAATATTCCATTGTGTATATATACCACAGTTGCTTTATCCATTCATCTATTGAAGGGCAT